TAACAAGTGAAATAACACATGCTGTGCAGTTTACTGGTCCTTTTTATACCCATGTGAATCTTATTCTTATCTAACAAGTGAAATAACACATGCTGTGCAGTTTACTGGTCCTTTTTATACCCATGTGAATCTTATTCTTATCTAACAAGTGAAATAACACATGCTGTGAAGTTTAATGGTCCCTTTTTATACCCATGTGAATCTTATTCTCATCTAACAAGTGAAATAACACATGCTGTGCAGTTTACTGGTCCTTTTTATACCCATGTGAATCTTATTCTCATCTAACAAGTGAAATAACACATGGTGTGAAGTTTACTGGTCCCTTTTATACCCATGTGAATCTTATTCTCATCTAACAAGTCAAATAACACATGATGTGAAGTTTACTGGTCCTTTTTATACCCATGTGACTCTTATTCTCATCTAACAAGTGAAATAACACATAGTGTGAAGTTTACTGGTCCTTTTGTATGGTGAAGACACGTGTAAAGTATCCTCATGCTTCATCACATAGATGTAGTTCCCTAGGTTCTGCTTGATTGTATTGGTATAGTTTAATTGTGATTGTGCAAAATCGTAAACTCGCTTCAGGAACTAAGCTTTTGTAGTTTATGTTGACCTTTATGTAATAGTAATAGGTAAATTATTACTGAAGCAATATTTAGTGTAAAAATATCAAGTTAATTTATTGTTAAAGTGATGGAAGTTTTTGTATATATAACAATAGGAAAGTGAAGTGTTAAAGAAAAAACATTTCCACGATTACTAAAGAAATCCTAGTGTGTTGTGAAGATATTAGTACTTTACACTCTTCCCCTGTCCATATTAGATTAAATATCACTTTCTGTTAAAATGGTGTGGGTAGGTGTTTTATAGCAAAGCCACATTGGGTTATCTGCTGTGTCCACTGAGGGGAATTGAACCTCTGATTTTAGTATTGTAAATCTGGAGTGTTATTGCTCTCCCACTGGGGGACTTGAATAGTATGAAACTAAGCTTTATATAAATCATTAAATGAAAAAAAGAGGACAGTTATAAAACTGGCCAATCAGGTTTAAGTAAAAAAGAAAATATTTGGAAATTACTTGCAGCTTAATATAGCCAGAAACCTTAATATACAAAAACATGGGCTTTTAATGAATTGAAAGAACCACAAGCTGTTGTATTGGTTCTGAGAAGTTAGTAAATTTTAGTGAAAGTCATTGTAAGACAAGTTTTTCTCAACTTCAGTGAGGTGAAACTAATAAATAGTTGTATAGATTTATCCTTGTTTTCCAAACTATAGAATAATTTGTTTTGCATAAGAAATTATCCAATTTTATAAGAATTTATCATTATAATTAACATTCTATTTAATCCCAGGAGAAAAAACAGAAACCTCTGATTTTTGTGTTTTTGGTTTATTTGTTTCATTTCAAAGCTACACAGTGGACTATCTTGTCTGCACTGGTCACCCATGGGGATCAAACCTCTAATTCTAGTGTTATAACCCCTGACGTTTACTTCTAAGACTGGTTTAAAAAAAATCACTTTGAACCAACACCAAAGATCTGGAGTTTCATACTTGGGAAGGGGGACAACCGTACAATTAAGATATGATCCCTAAGTTCTTTAACCCGCATTTAATACTTAAGTAGCTGACTATCAAAAGAGATTTTAACAGGACTAAGAAAATTAACTTGTCTTCAAAAAGAAACTGTAACTACTTGCCAGATTGTGGAACCAAGGATTTGTTCTTTGTGGCTGTGGAAGCAATTCAGGAGTGATGGTTTGATTAGAGTTGGCAGTGGGTGCTGTTGACCACCTGTCTTCCCTCTAGTGTGTCAGTTTAAAATCAGGGATAGCTAGCACAGATAGCCCTTGTGTAGCTTTGCACAAATATACAGAACAAACCAATAATCCACGTGCATTTACATACATATGTTTGTATTCTTACAGCATCCGTAGCTTTCATGATCTGGGCAATTTACAACCACAAACTCACCACATGTGTGGAAGTAAGTATTACATGCATTTTCTAGAGTTACTCATAATTATACCATATAGCATGAATGTAGTTGGTGCCACTTTAATAGGTGGGGATGTATGTTTGTGTAAAAATATCTACTTTCAGTATCTGAAGTTTGTAAAATTCATAAAAACGGACGGTAATATAATAAAAATAAATTGTATAATTTCCCCTTTCGAAAGTTTCTAGATGCTTGAGTATCGAAAAGACCTTTTCCAAGTGCCCACAATTTTTATTTTGCTAAGGGTCCGGGGAACCTTAATGTTTAGAAACTGAGAGTCCTTACATAAAATTGGGAGTCCTGATGATTCCCCTTATGATAAAAAGGTGTACATTTCAAAAGTGTTTGAGTTATAGCTTTTTTATTTTTGACTTCAATTTTGAAAGCAACATGTTTTTCCTAACAAAGCTCACAATATTTATAGAAATAATACAGATAATCATGTAGTTTATATTTAGATAACTAACCTTTCACTCTGATGCCATATACTAGAAAATATTAAGAATTATTGTAGTAAGTTTACTATTAAGAGTGTGTTTGAGATTTTTCTATTTTAGTTTATTTCAGTCCAACAATAGCTGTTTAGTTCCTTATGTTATGGAATTAAACAGCTATTCACAGTTCTTCAGAATTTTGTATTTAAATTTTTAACTTTAACAATTAACTGACAAACTTTCAATATATCATCATTGCTGCCCTTATCAAACATCACATAATAATATTTTGACAAAAATATTTCAAGTATCATATAATGATATTTTGACAACAATATTTGAAGTATCATATAATGATATTTTGACAGCAATATTTCGAGTATCATATAATACTTTGACAACAATATTTAAAGTATCATGTAATGATATTTTGACAACAATATTTCAAGTATCATGTAATGATATTTTGACGACAGTATTTCAAGTATCATATAATGATATTTTGACAACAGTATTTCAATTATCATATAATACTTTGACAACAATATTTCAAGCATCATATAATGATATTTTGACAATGACATTTCAAGTATCATATAATATTTTGACAACAACATTTCAAGTATATAATATTTTGACATTTCAAGTATCATATAATGATATTTTGACAGCAATATTTCAAGTATATAATATTTTGACAACAACATTTCAAGTATATAATATATTGACAACAACATTTCAAGTATCATATAATGATATTTTGACAGCAATATTTCAAGTATATAATATTTTGACAGCAATATTTCAAGTATATAATATTTTGACAACAACATTTCAAGTATCATATAATGATATTTTGACAGCAGTATTTTCTGTCAAAATCATTTTATGTCTAATATTAATAATTTACTTTCTATGAAAAAGGAATTATTGTCTTTGTATATGTGTTGTTTCAATACAACAGCTTAAAATTGTATTAAAATTTAACATTATAAAAAATGGATTTGTATTGTCTGATCAGTTTGACATTGCAGGCGTACTCTGCTTTACTTGCGAATATCTGTAGATGAAGTCTTGACCTAGAATGATATTGTTGTAGTTGTCCAGTACATATAGAATCACACAAAAACATCAGTCATATATGAAAAGGTAATCACCAGAATACTTAGGGGGAAAAAACCTGCCTTTAAATGTTATGGAAGTTTTGAATTACGTCTTCAAGTTGCTTCCTTACTGTCGACTACAGTTGATTGCACTAACTTTCAGCTTTTCAAACACTTGACTGATTTTCACACAACACTCTTACATTGTTGGATAAAGAGCATGAAAGGTCAGATGAACTTTTTAAATAAACAGAAAGTTGTAGGAATGAAACAAACATCAAGCTAATGGAAAATAATGAAATTTGATTAGGAGAGATAAATTTAAGATTAATAAAGAGCCAAAAAATAAAAACATCTGGAAATCCAGTGTTTACATTTCACATGCCAAGATATACAGCAGAAATGTAAGTTTGAACTTTCATATTTATTCATGAAATAACTATTTTATTAAATTTTTAATGTTGAATTGCACACCCGTAAGTGAATACTGAGTGACCCTTGAGGCTGGAAATAAAAGAAATAAAATTATAGGACTGGCAGTAAGAAACGTCCTTTTTCAGCATATATTATTGTAAGTACTTTAAGGGCAACATGTAAGAGATAACGGAAGCCAGATGCAGTTCGACAATTTTTGTGAACGTCCTTTTTCATCATATATTATAGTAAGTACGTTAAGAGTAATATATACGAGATAACGGAAGCCAGATGCAGTTCAACAATTTTTGTTAACGTCCTTTTTTAGCATATATTACTGTAGGTACTTTAAAAGTAACATGTACGAGATAACGGAAGCCAGATGCAGTTCGACAGTTTTTGTTATTGTTCATGTGCAATCGTATTTCATTTTTGCATTTTGAACTAATCATTTAGGAAAATATAGGGAAAAAGGATTAATGTTTATGCATCTTTAAGATAAAATCCTATTCACTCTTGTAGGTTCTGATCCAAATTTGTACGTATTTTATGCACAAATGTAGTGAATCGCAACATTGTGTTTGATACCATACATTATTGTTTATGGTACTGTTAGGCATTTCGTGAGTAGTGTTGGAACTCTTCTACTGTTTACTAGTTGTGATATTACATTTTTGTTTCCTTTGTTTTTTTGAAAGGTATGTTAATGTTGGTTGGCCTAAATCTAATATTTATATGTTAATGTTGGTTGGCCTAAAACTAATATTTACACATTTAATAGGTTCTTGTTTTAGTATGATGTTTAAAGAGTTGCTTTTTATAGGATTGGAAGGAACTCTGGGTAGATGAAGCCTATTGGCATCTTCTGTTTTCTGTTGTTTTATTGGTTATTATGATTCTGTGGAGACCCACCATTAATAACCAAAGGTAAGTGTAACAAACTACTTGACATTCTGCCAACTTAATGTTTTTCTGCTACGTATTTGTCATTCATTGAAAGCAGAGTTTTGCAAGTGTTTGAATGATAGTCTTTCTTCATTGGAAAATAACGTGTAATCTTCTTAAGTTTTTAATTTCCTAGATATGCTTTCACTCCACTGTTAGATGCTTTAGATGATGATGATGATGATGAAGAGCTTGAGAAGACATTAACTAATGATGCATTTGGTAAGTCTTTAGTTAAAGTTTATACTTAATGTTCAATAAGGCAGTTGATTAGTACTGATAGATTGATCCAGTTATTTTCCACGAGGCTTATTTAGCCACAGAATCGATATTGTAATATAACATTCGAACGTCCATTGTTAACTTGTTTTGTTTGCCCAGCAGGAACGAAGATGAGATCGACAAAAACCCAGAATAGTGTTTCTCCCAAACAGAAGGAAGTTTCCAACAATGCAGTAAGGAAAATAGATGAAATATTATGATAAGGGGGAAATTATTGTGGTATGATAAAGAAAATAGAAGTAAAACTATGATAAGGGGGAAAATGTTATGATGCAGTAAGGAAAACAAAGAAAATATTATGATAAGGGGGAAACATTTTTTTTTCTACTTGATAAATTGTAAGGAATTTTTCTAGTGAGGTCAGTATATTTTGTACTTGGAGTTTTGTTTAATATAGCTAACTTTTTAAAAGTTCATATTTTTGGGCTACTTAAAGATTTAATTCACAGTGTATGTTGACAATACCAAACAGAGAACATAAACCATATGTTTTGTTGTGCCACTGTACATTTCCAGTTATATTTAATTTTTGTTTATTTATTAATGTATAGATTCAAATATTTTGTATTATTAAGTTTCGATATTACAATTTTAAACCTGTCTGGTGTCAAGAGTATATTGAAATGTAAGATACTTGTGTTAACACATTAATTTACCTTTTCAGTTAATAAATTTCTTCATGTTTTATAGGATGAGGTCCTCAAATGGGTGGAAGAAAACATTCCATCTTCTGTCTCTGACAGGTATGGTAATTTTTTAAATACAGTTATTTGCAAGTATATCACAAATAACAACTGGATGATGATACTTAATGAATCATTGTATGAATTAGGAATTATATATAAAACTATTTATTGTTGCTTTTCAGTTGAATTTTTTTCCAACTATCTTTTGTCCCATGATTGATGATCGTGGTGATGTTTATTCACATAATTTTCAAAACTAAAGTGGACTTGTTTTTAAAATTGGTATTGGCAAAACCTAGAAATTAAACATATGGTCCTGTATAGGTCTTCTGAAAACATACAGTATGTAAGCCAGTCTTGCTACGTTAAATGAAAATTAAAACAAAAACCAGCAGCCTGACATGGCCTGGTGGTTAGGGCACTCGACTTGTTAATTGGGGTCATGAGTTCAAATCGAATGAACTTAATGAATCATTGTATGAATTAGGAATTATATATAAAACTATTTATTGTTGCTTTTCAGTTGAATTTTTTTCCAACTATCTTTTGTCCCATGATTGATGATCATGGTGATGTTTATTCACATAATTTTCAAAACTAAAGTGGACTTGTTTTTAAAATTGGTATTGGCAAAACCTAGAAATTAAACGTATGGTCCTGTATAGGTCTTCTGAAAACATACAGTATGTAAGCCAGTCTTGCTACGTTAAATGAAAATTAAAACAAAAACCAGCAGCCTGACATGGCCTGGTGGTTAGGGCACTCGACTTGTTAATTGGGGTCATGAGTTCAAATCGCATCATTGAATATGCTCACCCTTTTAGCTGTGAAGTCATTATAATGTGATGGTCAATCCCACTATTCATTGGTAAAAATTAGTCCCAGTTAGAGGTGTGTACTGTTGATTAGTTGCCTTCCTTGTAGTCTATCACTTCAAAATTAGGGACAGCTACTGCAGATAGTCCTCAAGTAGCTTTGTGTGAAATTCAACAAATAAACAAACCAAAAAAGTAAGCTTACAATTATTTTGTTATACAATGAGAATGTAGTTTCATCATTTAATAATGAAACCTATTTAGATGTTGGATCAGGGATGGCAGCAGAAAGAAGTTGAATTGACTGAAAATACTCAGGGAAGAAATATAGGGGAGGTGAGGGCCTAGGGGGTGAAGCCCTCTTGAAGCTAAAAAGCCTTTACGCTCTGAAATGCAATCCGAACCATTATCTGGAGCCTATTGCTCAAACAATTTGTTAAAAGACCATATACATCAGCCTAGTTATTCATGTATCAGTAGTTTGGGTCATGAGATGTAATAAACAGAAATGAGACTCAAGATCTCGGGCTTCCAGTATTCTTTATTCTAAACCCAATGGGCAGATTTTCCATTGTCCCAGCCCACTACCAATCTACCCCTGTTGCAAGTAACACAGACTTGTTATAGTTGCAGTGTTCCACTTATTAAGTTAAAGTTACAACAGTAGTCAACACCACTAGACACTACTGAAATAAGGAATTATGATATAGATTTATATTAAAATACTATTAGATTAGGCTGTATTATTGTCATTAAGACCTTACAGGCTTACTAAGCATGCAGACGAGTAAGCCTCCTTAGTACCTAACCTTACCATGCTTACGATGACATTGTTGTTAATGTTAACTTTAGACTATTTAGTTTTATAACTCACAACTAATTTACGTAATTATAGGCTTAGTTTAGACCTATTAAAGACAAAATAAATAGAATAGAGATCTAGATTGATTTTGATTACTTTCATGTCTGTCTATGGGAATTACTTTGAATGGATCATCACTAAATTGGCACATAAATTATGCGTAGAAAACTTACGAAAATTTCACATGTTCAACAACAACACATGTCTGCCACGATGATGTGATTAATACTTCATTTCAGAAAACCACCAGTCAACTACATTATTAATATATACGTGCTGGTCTATGGTATTTCCAAAGTTGCATATCAGTAAATGTTCATCTGGAAGTGTACATTTGTAGTAGCCGTTCATTCAATAGTTTTGGGTATTGTAATTAAGAAGTCAGATTTTTATTTTATGAATTTAATTATTTTTTAATTGACGGAAATCTGTCCTGAGATGGAACTCTGTCTTCCCTATTGGATGGTTTCAAAACAAGACTAATATACTGGATAGTCGGCTCAGTTTCCTAATTTTACTAGTACCAGTAAAACAAGGCTATCTTATTCTTGATAATCATGTGTTTTAAGTATTGTTGGTGAAAATATCACAGCATTCTTACTTAATTTTACTGTTTCCATCATTAACAGTACTGTTGGACATGTTACCTTATATCGTAGTGTATATGTTGTGAACTTTACTATAAAAAGCGAAAGTCATAACTTAGATATTGCTACACTATTTTGATAAATATTGCAAATTTAAGAAACTACGGATTTTTTGATGTAAATGTTCTTTTTTTTTTTTGAAGATTTAGAAGCATAAGATCACGACAAAGAAAAATTAAAGAAGAAAAGTCTAATAAAATAATTTAATAAAATTAAATGTTATTTAGACTTTATAAGTATATATATACAGTGCCTTGCAAAAAATATTCATTCACTGCCAATAATGTCACATTTTGATGAAATACAAACTATGTAAAAATATTTTTATAATGAACTTGTTTTTATTCAAAACTCTAATGATCAAACTTAACAGTTATGTGTGAAGGAGGTTGAATGTCAGCAAAACCTGCAAAGAAAAGATATAAATTAAAATTTGCTGATTGCATAAGTATTCAGCCCCTAAGTCAGTACTTGGTGGAAGCACCTATGGCAGAAATTAGTGCTGTTAGTCTTTTTGGATAGATCTTTACCAGCTTTACAAAATGGGATGGTGTAATTTGTGCTCATTCTTCCTGGCAAAATTGCTCCATTTCTGACAAGTTCATTGAGGATTGTTGATGGACTGCAATCTTCAAGTCTCACCATATATTTCCTATTGGATTCAAGTCAGGACTTTGACTGGGCCACTTTCTTCTTTTGAAACTTATTCAGTGTGGCTTTGGCCTTGTGCTTGGGATCATTGTACTGCTGAAATTTGAATTTTTGGCCCAGTTTTAGATTCTTGGCCGACTCAAGCAGGTTTTCCTCTTAAGATTTGCCTGTACTTTGCACCATCTATATTCCACCTCAATTCTGACAAGCTTCCCAGTTCCTGCTGATGAGAAGCATCCCCATAACATGATACTGCCACCACCATGCTCGACAGTTGGGATGGTGTGTTGTGTTGAGCTTGTGCCAGACGTAACACTTTGAATTTAGACCAAAACGTTCAACTTTTGTCTCATCTAACTACAAAACCTTCTGCCACATGTCTGCAGTATCATTGACATGTTTTATCTCAAACTCCATAAGAGATTTAATATGATTATTTTTCACGAATGGCTTCTTTCTTGCCACTCGCCCATATAGGCCAGCTTTGTGTAGGGATTGGGATATTGTTGATGTACGAACACCGACTTCCTTCTCAGACACGGAACTTTGAAAATCTTTAAACGTCACTGTTGTCTTCACAGTGGTATCCCTAACCAGTTTCCTGCTTGCCCAGCTGTTTAGTTTAGAAGGGTGGCCTGATCTGGGTGGTATGAAGCACATTCCAATTCTTAATAATGGACTTACTGAACTCAGAGATAATCAGTGACTTTAAAATTTTCTTGTATCCATTTCCTGCTGATCTGTGCTTCTCTACCACTTTATCCCTGACTTGTTTGGAAAGCTCCTTGGTCTTCATGGTTGGTTTATCGTGCCACTATGTAAGTTGTGGCTTGAACAGATGCATTTGCTCTGAAGTCAAGTTAAACCACTTTGATTACACACAGAGACCATTACACTAATTTTGTGACCTTTCAAAAACTAATCTTTTGCACCTGAACTGATTTAGGGTCGTCGTAGCAAAGGGGTTGAATATTTGTGGAACTGATAATATTCTAATTTTATTTTAGAATCTAACTTATTTACATAATATTGGCATTTTTCTTAGCTTTCACAGTTCGTGTAGATTCTAAATATAAAGTTCCACTTGAAAGTTTCATGATTGCAAGCTCAGACAGCAACAAAATGTGGAAACATTGCAGGGGGTGAATACTTTTGTAAGGCACTATATAGATACACACTCAGGAGTTTACAAGGTGAATGGTTTTTGTCTATCTTTGTAAATGTTATGAGATGATGATGTACCACCACACTATGGAACACACGTACTATTGTCAATCAGTATTTTAAGTCAGATTTAAATATTTACTCTTATTTGTTTTAACTCACCTAAAATTCCATTGTTAAACTTCTATTTTCTCTTTTGAAAATTAACTAAGGTTTGATTGCCCCATAACTCATTTTGTCGATGGTTATGTTCGTATCCAACAAACATTATTTGTTTTATGGTATTTTTTCAGTATTAAGAATACTTACTTTCCTCTTTTCAGTGCTTTACCAACTTTCCTAGATTCTGATGAGGTGAGTTAAGAATAACTTTTAAAGATAATATTATGTAATGATATTCCATTACATATAACCATGGGTTTCCATTCGTTTGTAATGCAGGACTTATTTTAGTCAGTTTTCCTTCATAACAGTGTTTTGGTAGAATTATTTCTTTAGTTTATAATTGTAACCAATTCATTGCAAGTTTCATTTTTCAATTAAACTTTATTTATAATTATTTTTGTTATTACCCAGGTTAAAGTTGGTTAATTTTAAAGTAGATTTCAGTGATTCAACCAACCACAAATAAGGTGTCACCAACACAACTTTACTCTTGTGTTGTAAGGAGATGAAAGTCATGAGCTGACATTGAAGGATGCTTTTCTTTACAGCATGTAGTGACTCTGAGTTTTAATAAGACGTAGAATTTCATAGATGCATTTTTATTATTATATTTTAATAACCAGATATTGCTGAACATATATCAAGTTTTTGTGTATATAAATCTACCAAGTGATGTGCTATGTTTCTTTAGATAACTTGTTATTTTGTAATGTTTTATTTTTTGTCAGTGGTTAATTATTGGTGTCTACTGTAAACCGTTTGAAAGTCTGTTAGTATTACACCAGTTTAGAATTAAAAGAGTTTAAAAACTCCATCAAACATCTTGTCTCTAGTGATAGCATATTGTTCTTAATGTTGAGGGATCTCATAGAAAACTATTGTTTCCACCTTATATTTTGATGTAGACCCAACCAAACTTATTATATAAAGGAGAATCTTTAGATAATTTTATTCCTTCAGGTAGTCATAACCTCAAGGTAATGACACATACATATGGTACTGATGATAGGAAAGCCTGTAGGTTCAAAAAATCACTTTCAAAAAGTGGACTTCATCAGTTTACTGCTGTTGAAGAAAGGTAAACTTTTGAAAATGCAAAAGTTATAGGGTTTCATATTTTTGTCTTATATATATTCATGCACCAACATTTTCCTATGGGATTGTTTTTGTTGAAAGTAGTGCTTTTTTATTTTATATATATAAATATTTCTTTTGTTTAATGTGAAAGATTACTTTTCTTTCCACTAGGAAATTATGACAGCAAAGTTTGAAAGAAACAAGATGGAATGATTCCGAGTTAATCCTATTTATATTCGATAAATGGAATTCTGACTCTCTAAAGACAGAAACACTTATCCGAAACCAGAAAGTTGTTTGAGTATTTGATAAACATAATCTACGATTGAAACCGAAACTGGGGGATTTTTGAAGTATAGATTCCAGATGGAAATGAGCTCTTACTAATACACTAGATTATACGGCCAACAAAGTTTAGATTTGGCTTGGACTTCAAAATTGGAATGAATATTTTGTGACAAGTTGCACTTTATCTTAGTTACACTAACTCGAGAAGCCACTTCTTTCTTTTTCGAAGTAATAATTTTTCCAGTTTCAGTAAAAAGAACAATGGTTTTTACTTACATGTGTATGCTCTAAATTTAAAGAAAGTCTTTCCATATGTATGCTAAGATGTCGGAGAAGTTCTCTATATTCTAAACACAAATCTGTTTATTACAAATTATCTTGAATTAATAAAACTAATAACCTTGTAGTTACTAGATTGTTTTATGCGTATATTAAATTTTTTTTTTTAATTTCTGACCAACATAAGTACTTCAACATACACACACACGTGTGTGTGTGTGTATATACATATATATAAGATGTTGTATAGAGTTTAATCCTTGCTCCACATAATGAAACCTTTGGTTAAAATAAATGTTTTTTTGAAGCTCAGTTGTTAAAATATTTTTTGGTCAAACAAAATTTTTTCTGAGATATTTATGTGAGGTCTGTTACTTAAAGCAAATTTTCAGTTTTATTACATTCTAATAAGTAAAACAGTGGCTTGTAAAGTCTTTGAAAAAGAAAGAAATTTCAACTTGCCGAGAGATTCTTGTAAGCTATCCATGAAAACGTGATACAGTTGTGGTTTGAGATGAGAATTAACGACTGGTGTACAATAAAAAAATCAAATTTGTTTATACCACAAATAATCTATCATAAAGAACTATAGTACTTGGATATCATATGGTGTAATCATTTTCAAGCATTATATCATAGCTCTTAAGAAACTAAGACATATTAGTGGAAAGTAATTATTAAGTAAGAGAACAAGTTACTTTATTGAGGCACTAATATACTGATAATAAGTAAGTTAACATAGTTATGGACTAAGAAATATGTACTGAAGTGTTAAATAAGAAAAATAATTTTGAATTATGTATTTAGTGATATTATCTTTCTAACTTTATGTGTTACTAGTTTTAAAATTGAAGTAGGTAGGGTTTCACTCGTCACCCCGATATCTATGCAGCTGTTTAATAGATTTTTTTCATTATTCAGTCTATGCAGAAAACTTAAAACTTGTCATCCTTTCTGTTACATGAACTCATCTAGTCAACTGGAATTTTTTGGAGTTGAAATTTGTGCAAGAAACGTTTTTTTTTTTTTTTAACTCGCTATTAATCGTTGCCATGGAAGAGGTGATGGTTGCAAATTTTTTGGTTTTTCAAGTTAACTAACTCTTACAATTATATTATTGGTAGTTTCAGAGGTGAATAAAAGACTTGGATGACAAATAAGAGCTTAGTGATATCACTTAAATCTCAGTTTATCTTGTTATTATTCCAGCAAATTTACATACATTATAAGTAGGGCTTTTGGTTATAACCAATAAAATACCTTTGATACAAGATAAAAAAATATCCATCTTTAACACTGAAAAAAGATACTTGTTTCACATTTACATGACTTCACCCCCCATACCAGTTAAGTTAGTTATGCACTCTCTCTTTATCCTCACCTGTATCTAGCATTAATTTATTCTGAATACTTCAAACACACCTCAACTACTGAAGGGGTAGCAGAGGTTAAACTAACACAGAAGTAATTCTTATAATAGGAATTAAAGTAAACCTCGTGCTGAAAATGTTGGCAAAAAGCTAAAAAAAAATAAAACAAACAAACAGAAGCCCTAATTATAATTAAAAAGCTTTGAGTTTGTGATACAGGTTAGAAAGTGTACTCATTATCCCACAGATCAAGACGTGGTTATGATAGTTCAGTGAAAAGGTTGTACAGATGGAAAAGCAAAACAGTTCACTTTATTTTTTAGTTTGATATTATTGCTGCATATTTTACCTAGTCAAATCCATTTATGGTGTTTATTGTGGTTGAAAAAGATGAATCCTTTTGTAAAAAATACCAACAAGGTAAATGTAAGTTAGCTGGTAGTAATCGATCCAGAAATGGTTTATGTTATGAGCATATATATATTTTACTTTGGGTTTTACAGTTTACTGGATCACTTACAGCTAAAGGATCATAAAAGCATTACACTTTATCATTGGTTTTGGTGGTAGTTTTTTTTTTAAAAGAAATTAATGTTTATTTATTTCCAGTTTCAAAATCTCTACTCCCATAGGGCAGGAAATGAATATCTAAGTGTACATGTTTACGGTTTTACAATACTTATCGCCACATGTTTGCAATTCTAAACATTAATTAAACAGCTTTGTTTTACTAGTATCGTATCACTAGTTGGTCAGTGTGAAAGTTTTAAGTATTCCTGGTTTGTGATTACTTTTTTTGTTAATTTATCACCTAGTAGACTGATTGGTGTGTTGGTTTTAATTACTCTTCTGGTGATTAATTAAGTATTTAAGCAATATTAACGTGTACTTGCTGGATGATCACTTTGGAATTTTATTATATTTTCATTGATTGGTCTACTCATTCAGTTGTCTCTTTTTAGTGGTACATTGCTACTGATTGGTCAGTTTGAAATTTAAACTGCTCTTGTTTGTTGTGTCAGCACTACTGATTGGTCAGATTTGAATTTATTAATCAGCCCTACTTCATTTTAATGCTAATACTTTATGAACTCATAAATAGACTGTAAAACTGTAGTTTATTTATGTACTACTTCTACTCATTGACATGACTGTCGAGTATTTCAGTATCTCTAGTTTTTATATTAATATAGCCTTGTGAAGAATATTGTCTAAACCACACCAGTCATTGTTTCACATCATTGAATTTTACATTGAAGGTTTGTTAGCAGTAATTAAGAATAAAGCTGACTTTAGTGTAAGTGGTCTGTGTGGTTGAGTAGATTTTTTTTATACATGTAACATTGTGTACATTTATTTCTAGTGGCAAAAAAAGTTTAAATAGGGCACGAAATAGGTTCATAAGTTATGAAAGTTCAACTTTAGTTTTTAACATTGGAAATCACAAGGCTGAATAAATCCACTGAATAACGTGCTTTTAATTCTGTGATCTGGGACAGTTCTCAGGTTCCAAGATAAAACCGGAGTTCAGAACTCTTCCTTAACATAAAAACATGAGTGGAAAGTGTGAAATATGAGCTGAAGGAAACAACTAAGAGTGTTACACTGAACAAGTTTTGTTGAAACACCAAATAAGCATGTTAGTGTCTTTCTTTTTATTGTTCAAGTGAAAATAAAAATGATTAATGGAGCCATTTTGTGTTTTTTTGTTTATAAAGTATTCTGGGATGGGTCAAGAAAAAAATGGCTGCCACATTCAATCTGTTACTTCATGTTGCTTACAAGTAACTGCTTAAGTTATTTGAACATCTAATTGCCATGATTGAGTGTTTCACTTGAAAAGTGTTACTAAAGTGGAGAACTGGGAACTAGCTAAACAACCAGAATGTTAATTTTTTTTTCTTTTTTAAAAGATGTGTGAAGTTTTTGCAGTGGCTTTAGTACGACAAAAAAGCATTTTAAGAGCACTTGGGAACAGGCTATCACTAAGCATGGTAGTTCTTAGTATAAGCTTAAAAAACATCATAATTCTAGTGTTATCATTAGCTTTCTTACAGCAATCTGGTGTTCCTTTAAAAGTCTGAATAGAATTACCAACCAATAATAGATGAACATTAGATGACTGTAACAAGTAGAATACTCAGTGCTTTGTACACTATACAATTAGTGTCTTTAAGAAGCCAACCCATATATTATGTATATAGTGAAGGAGTAAAAAAAAAATCAATACACATATTAAACTTTATAACACACATTCATAGAAAACGTCAACTTTCAGTCAGGGAAAAGATGTCACTAAAAAAAAAAATAAAATAAAAAATTTGTAAACATAAAATGATATATTGATGGCAGTATCAAAAAAGAATGGAATCATGAATATAAGAATGATACAACTATACATTTTTTGTGTTCTTTCCTTACTGTATGTTCCTGAAGATTATGACCAATGATGATTAATAATCTATTGTATCCAATTGTATGTTATAATATCAATATCCGAGGTCATTCTACAAGTGCAATGAAGAAACTGACAAAACTGATATGATATTAACAATATATATTACCATTGAATTATAAAAATAAAGCAGATGTTCACTTATCAATCTTACTTCAATGAAATTGTTAAAATAAAAAAATTGCAAAAATTAAGAATGATGTAGGGATGACAATACCAAAAAGTAAAGAAACAAGGTAAGGATGAATACACATAATCATGGAAGCTATGTTGGTTTGTGAGGTAGATGTATCATATTTTATCTTGTATATGTTGGACTGCTCTTTCACGATTCTTGAGATCCAGTTTTCTGATTGGTTAGTAAATTATTTTGACATTTTCAAACAGATTTGTTTAAGGCCTGAACGAGTCAAGATTTGTTGATAATGGGAGTGGTCTTGCACCTTTGAGTACAATTTATTGTAATTTTCAACTTAATGTTTCATCATTCAATTGTTTTTCCCACCTGTACAATCATACATCCTCCCATTTACTCTTGTCTCATCTCTCTCCACCTGTGACAAATCAATGAGTTCTTACTTCTCTCCTTGTTGCAGGCAGGTAACCACAAAGATCAAAATTCACTTATGACAGATGATAATGTTTAAATTCAAAACCTGAAACCAATCTTCAGATGCTGATTGTAGCATGGATAAAACAGTCAATTCATGTACAATAGTTGATAAAGGTGTTCTGTAATGTACAGAATTGATAGCTATGATATTTTTGTCTCCACAAAAACATACTGTTTATCTGTTATTTCTTCTTCCAAACACTTTTCAATTGAAAACCTTTCCTTCATTTCTAGACAGATTGACTTGAAACTTGGTAGGGTTATACCTTGGTTCAGTATGCCAACACCTTTTTCTTTTTGGTGTAGGCCTTTTTTAATGATTTTATGTGGTTAAAAGTCAAAACCTAAAAATGTATATTTTGGGCTCCTGTGCAGTCATATATACAATAGTCAAGATGAAAGTTGGCACAAATATAAATTTTATGGATATGCCTAACACATTGACATACAAAAAAGTTGGATTTGCCCATTTTGAGTCTTTTTTTTTTTTTTTAAGGGGGCCAGAGCTCACTAAAAAGCATAATTTTGGGGTTTTTGGTCAATTAATTGGCTGTATTTTGACCAACTTACATGGAATTTGGTACAAGGGTACTTTTTTATAGGTCACATACATTGACAAACATAAATGGTGGACTTGTTCATTTTTAGCAATTATAGGGGGGTCAAGATGCCACAAAAAGCATAATGTTAGAGCTTTTTACAATTACTCTGATGTATTTTGTACAAAGATAGGTCCCATA